AGGAAAAGACAAGGAGAAAACAGGGTTGAGGAAAACCAGATGATCAGGTTCTTATTAGTTTTCCTCTAGTCTGTTTCCACCATCTGGACAGGGCAGCTTTATACTATGGAGTCAGAATTGACATATTAAGGCAGATGAAACATCCCAAGGAACAGTTTATTAGGAAGTCAAAAATGCTTTCTCCATATTCCATAGAATAACCTGCATTTCATGACACTACGGTATAAAGAAGCACCAGCTTGGCTTTTCTGCCTCCGTTAGCCAGCAGTTACTTGACATCTGGTGAAGGTAAGCAGATGTACCTTCCTTCCAACACACCTGACCTATGACAATCTGGATTTATAAAGCAGAAAATACAAAAAAGAGGAATATGTGGTGGAATCTTCTAGAGAAAAGACATCTTTCTTCAGCTCCATCTTAGACCTAGTAACTTTTCATTATTTGTTTACTGAATAATAACATGAAAAAAATCTCCTGTATAAACCTATGTGTATTTTAAATATATTCTTTTTCTACTCAAGGTTGTATCTAAATTCTGATGTCCTCTCTTTCATTGATGAAGTACAGAAAGATAAGGAAGGACATTGTTAATGAGGCAAGAGTGTCCCTTTATCCCACCCCACCCCCCAACTGATTCAAAGCATTGTAACTTCACTATAAACTGCAGATGGGCTGGTCCCACCTGTACTAAGACAATAGGAAGGAAAGTAGGGAGCAGGTGCTCCTATTGGATTGAAACAAGGCCAGGAATGGAGCTGGGAGATGCTGCCAGAACAGCTGTACTCAGGTTTTGATCTTGTTCCTGCTTTCTGTGCGTATTTGCATCACTTCTGGGGCAGCACAGAGACTCTTATTATAGGTAGGTTTATAGCGTGGCTTAGAAAACCTTCCCAGGGAGATACTTTGCAGGGTCAACAGCAGAACCCATTTCAATTGGAGGTTTATGGGAGGGGATGGGGGTCCAGATGGACAGCTATATGTTGAAAGGAGATAATTGCATTTAAAAAGTTTGTGTGAAAGTGCCTTCCTTGGCTCATCAGGATGGTTAGCAGCTGGCTCTCAGGAGACAAAGCGTGAGCTCTGCCAGGCTCTTAGTTGTGTTGTGACAGCAGTGTGTACCTCTGCTGGGCCTCTGGGGCAGCAGGGCATCTGGAAGCTTCAGATTATTCTAGATTAGTCTAACCAGAGTGACCAGGGAGGGTGCTGGAGAGCTCTGCAGCCAGGGGCAGTGTCAAGAGGCTGGTGCAGACAGCAGGGCTGGCTGCTCTGCACAAAACACGAGGGTGGGCGATGTGTTCAGACAGGGCACCTCTTTCCATTCTAGTTGTTCTCATTATGCCCTTCTTGTATAGTTTTCTGATATCCATGTTTCATTTGTAGTCATGTGTAGTTTTAATCTTTATTTAATGCCTCTTCTTCCATTGTAAAATACTTTAGAAAACTTTAGAAACTGTTCATGTTAATCTTTATTGGTCACGGATGGAAGAACAGAGGAAAAAGTACAGTGAAAGTAATGGTAAATAGTAGCTATGAGTTACAATGTTGAGAAGATTTACCCAGGAGCTGACCATCCTCACCCGCAGAGGTAGAATGCTGCACTGTTGGCACACAGTGCCTGTACGTAGGAAAAAGCTATGACAGCAGGTGTCAGGGACTGTTTGTTTGAGGTACTATTCTAGGAGGAAAAAATGAGTTCCCCAAAACATAACTTTTAACTTATTTTGCCTTTGTAGGTTACTTAGTGTGTATTATATTTGACTTTGAATTTGATTGGTACTACCAAGACTATGATACTTATAAACAAAGATATGTCTTACATATTTTATAAGACCTAACAATTATATAACTTTGTAGTTTATAAAAGTTTTCATTATTTCCCCCAAATTTATAAGGAAGGCAAGGCAACTATCCATGTTTCGCTGGAGATAAATAATGGGGAGTGGCTTTTGGCTCTCATACATGTGCTGACACCTCAGCTTCTTTCCACAAGCCCTATGCAGCTTTGGTCCCAGATAATAGTCACATTATACCAACCAGTTAAACCTGGAGCTTTTGTCTTCAGTAATAATCAGCCTTTTGCCAGCAAGTGCTGCTAACATGACTGGTTGGCTGATGTCTTATACAAGCATTGTCACAATTTATTAAAATGTGCATGTAATGGATTCAGAATCTGAGAGTGGCACTTTAGCTAGAACAGCTGTGAACAGAAGTGCAGCTTTTACACCTATGCACTGTGTCTGTAGTAGCACTGAGCAAATGGACCTACAGAGAACTGGGCATCTCTCTGGTTCTCTGAGGCTGGCTGTGAAGCCTTGGTGGTTGTGGGCTGTGGTGTGGGTCCTGGGGCTGGTGCAGGTGCCCTTGGTGAGGACAGCGGGCAGCAAAGTGCCCCAGTGCATGAACTTTTACAAGGCAGGGTGAGGAGAGTGTCTAGCTCCAAGGAAGCAAGGACTAAAACATGGATCGCTTTGGCCAGTACTTTAAAGTACTCTTGAAAGAAAATTGATAGGATGCAGGATTGCATCAAAGCTGCATGCTCCTAGGGCTGTACCGTAAAGGAAGTAGACTACATTGCTGCCACGTGGCAGGAGTACATAGGTAGGACAGCAGAGCCTTCTGTCCTAAATACAAGAGGCATAATTAGAAGGGAAAAACCTCTTGCTGGTGGCCAAAAATGTACACCTTGTTCCACATTCTCCAAGCTCTACCAGCATCTGCCTTTTAACTCATTGAAAAGACCTCATTTGTTTCCTCCAAGCTCTCAAATGTGTCAGACCTTGCATTTGTTCCGTCAGCCCACATTTCAGTGCCTTACAGTGTGCCAGGCCCTGGGGACACATGAGTGGATCTCACAGTTTAGGGGATGGACAAACATGAGTAAGTAAATACGGCAAGCATGAGTGGAAGTGTGTGCAGTGCTGGGTGGAAGCCGTGGGGCAAAGTAGTGGCAGTGTGTGTGATTTGCAAGGCTTGCACAGGACTGATCACCATCGATATGCTAATAATCCTCTGACCCAATTGCTGCACTCTTGCTTGAGGCTGCTCTGAGATGCTCATTAAACAGTGTGATTATTCAGGTCGCCGTTACCTCTCAGAGGGAAGAGCTGCTTGGGAGTGAAGAGATACACAGAATCTCCCACGGAGCCCCCCTCCGAGAAGGATTAGATGGATGCTAGTTGATTCAGCCCCTGCAGTTTGCCACCTCAAGTCATCAAGCCCAACTTCTGAGCCAGTGATAAGTGCTAGCTAAAGGGTCAGCTTGGGCCTTTGTTTAAACTTGCCCAGAAACTAATAATACATTTCATAATTTATTTCTCAGGTTTACAGTATCATGACGTGCCAGGTTCTTTGTCAGAGTTGCTTGAAAATAGCTTTTATTCTCCTGCATAATAAATGAAAATTGCTGATTAAAAGATCATTCACTCTATCAGAAGTTTGGACATTTGCTTATTTGAAAATAATCTTGATTTAGAAACAACTGAACCCCACCCCCCACACTGTCTCTCAGTTGTGTAGGGAGCCACATTGGGTGGGTTCACCTCCCCCAGGAATGAATGGCATTAAAGTGGGAGTAGCAGTGTTGTCAGAAACCAAGGGCATTTCCCGTATGGGAGAATGAGAGCACATTGTTTCTTCAGGTAAAAAGTTAAAAATAAACATCTAATTGGAAATTATATGGGCATGGGAATTGATTTGGGAATAGAAGGGGAGAATAGATAGAGAAGATTTTATAGAGGTAAATTTTTCTATTCTGTCTTTGGCTCCTGACACATAGGAGGTACTTTTCAAATGTTGAATAGCCAAGTGAGTGAAGGGTACTAGAAGGCAGCAGATATGGTGTGAAGAATGTTGAACTTGAGGTCAGATGAAAAAAAGGCCGCAGTTCTAATTCTGGTACTCCCTAGCTATGTGATTTTTCAGCAGGGTCCTTTGCTTTAGCTTCTGTTTCTTCAGCTATGAAAAGGACATTGGAAACAGACCCAGCATTCCTCCTTGGGGATCTCAGGATCCCACAGTTGGCTTCACGAAAAGTGAGTGAAATTGTGGGTGTTCCCATGAGGGGAAATTTGTTACATTGGAGAATGTAGAAGGAAAATGAGCAGTCACTTCTCTCATGAGCTTCTGAGGAAATTCCCATGTATTAATTTTCTGTCATTTTCTTTTCATTGCCGTGGTGTCATACCACCACATACTGATATCTTCCAGTTCTGCAGGTTCAGAGGTCCCACTGAGCTAGAACTTGGGGGTTAACTGGTCTATGGTGCCTTGTGGCTCCAGGGAAGACTTTGTTTGCTTGCCTTTTGTAGCTTCTACAGCCACCTGTACTCCTTGGCTTGTGGCTTTCTCTTCCACCTTTAGAGCCAGCGCCCTCACATCTCTATGACCCTGCTTCCTAAAGCCTGCGACTCTGGGTCCCTCCAGAGAAGGGTCTTTGCTTTTTTGAGTTCCTGTGATCAGATTGAGCTTCTAGACAATCTAGCATACACTCCCCAACTTGAGACCTTGACTTAATTTTACCTGCAGAGTTAGTTTTGGAATGTAAAGTCTCAGGTTCTGGGGATTCAGATAGACCTTGTTCGGGAAATCATAATTCTGCTTCCCATATCCATAATGTGCAGGTTACCTTGTAGGGGACAGAAGTACAGTGGAGAAAGTACTAAATGGCTCTTCTGAAACCTGGAATCTAGTCTGTCATTGTATCTCTCTGAGTTTCTTTTGTATGCATCTAAACAGGGAGTTGAATTAGACCAGTGATTGTGAAGACGTGCTGTGCATCAGAATTAATGCAAGGGCTTGTTAACAGCCCTGTGTAGGGCTTAGCATCTGCATTTCCAGTAGGTTCCGGTGCTGTTGGCAGAGGGACCACACTCAGAACCACTGAACTAATCTATCTCTAAGGTACTTTCTCGAAGGTCTTAATACACCCTGTAGGGTCTTTCTCCTTTAGGTGCAATTTAGTAAGTTAATCATGCTTTTAATTGAAAGAAGCAAGCATCAGCCAGACAGGGTAGTGCACACCTGTAATCCCAGATACTTGAGAGGCTGAGGCAGAAGGATTGCAAGTGTGAGAGCAGCTGGGACAACTAAGGGAGACTTTGTTTCAAAAGAAACAAAATCAGAAAGGTTAAGGATGTAGCTCACTGCTCCTGAGTTCAGTCCCCAGTACTGCAAAAAAAAAAAAAGTAACAGCAGCAAGTATCATTTCATTGATGTAATTTCCTAGTGAGTGGCAAGTTTGCTTTTTATTCATGAAAAACATGGGACATGTGGTCTGTGGGCTGATTCAGAGCAGGTTGCTTTGAGAGCCCTGCAGGGGACAGAAATGCAGGTATTGAGGTAGGAAGGGAACTGACAGTCAGATCCCAGTTCCACATCTCTGTATATCAGTGTGATGACAAGGCAAGGCCCACTCTGCAGGTTGCTTTTCATGCAGGGGCCTTATACAGTATCTAGCTGTGTCTGGTATGTGGTCCTCTTGGGTCACATTACTAACACTCTCCATCCAGCCACTGTTCTAAACCTGGGTTAATGTGTCCAACCTTCCCAACATTTCTGGGAGGTGAGTGCTGTTACTCCCACATTTGCAGGTTCAGGGAACAAAGGTTAGGAATTTGGCCGGGCAGGGAAAGCTAGACAATGGTTGAGTTGCTTAGTAGGCAGTCACTTAGGTTCCAGACCCTGCACAGTTTTGTTGCTTTTAAGTGTCTTGTGCTGTAACAAGTCTGGACGTAGGTGATCCTGAGGTTGGTTAGTTTACTGCCCAGCAGTGTCACAGCAGGTCCAGGTCTCTCCACCTTGTCATTCTGCTGAGGCCTGCAGGTTGGCTTCGCATAAGATGGTTGCCGCATTTCCTGGTGTCCCCTACTCAGAGGGTGAGCAAGAAGATGACCCCTTCCTTCCTCTTGTCCCTCCGTTTTCCTACAGGCATTCCTACCAAAAATGCTTGGTGCACCCCTTTCTAAATGGCCACCATCAGTGAGCTATACCCCCCAGGCTGGGGAGGGCCTGAAGCAAGCCCTCCAGGTAGCTGACTGTTCGGGTTTCCTTCCTGAGAAAGAGGTTGCAGGGATAGCTGCTGACTGGTCAGAGGTTGGTGCTAAGCTCTTCAACCTGAAGGTGCCTTAGCCAGGGGGTAGATAGCCAGAGCTACTGGAGGTGCCATTGACTGTCCTTGGTTTACTCTAGGCCAAGTGATCACTTTCCTGGCAAGGGTGGGGGCACATGACATTTACTTCTTATCAGGACCCAAAGGGGTCTTGGTCTTTCAAGAGGAGGGTGGAGTTCTGGTCTTACAGTCCTCTTCCACCTCCTTTGTCTCTGGAGGAAGTTTTCCACTCTGACCTGAAACAACGTCCTTTCTTCTGGTACAGTAGGTGTCTGGTCTGTAAGCAGGGATGTTCCAAGCGTCCCCAGTGAATGAGTTAGTTCAAATCCATCACCACAGCTGTCCTGACACAGGGCAAGCACAGCTAGCAGGCTCCACTGTTGCTGGCATCCGTGTGGTTAACTGAGCATCGGTGTTCAGGGCCTGACCCAGCTCTAGTGAAACCACATAGGGAATATATTTATTTTTCATAGAAGCAAGAACCAGTATCTGTCTCCTGGGTGTGCCACCAGCTACCTGAAGAATCTGGGTCCTTCCTCAGTGGGCCCTCATGTGGTTGAATTTTATGAATGTGATTTTGGTTGGGACACGTATTTCCTATGTGACAGGATGAGCACTCATAGCAGCCACCTCATGGGGTGATAGAGATGTGCCCCACTTTGAGAAACCCTACCCATATAAGGAGGAGCGTTGCAATTACAGGATAATCTCTCACTTAGCCAGAGATTCATGGCAGGTTTCCTAGTGCATTTAAAATAGGATTCATGTATAAAAATACCACTCACATACAGGAGCCCATATTTTCTGAAAAGGGAAATATACTTGTATTGGGCATTTGGGGTAAGTAGATCAAAATAAAAATAAAATCTTATAAATACAAGAACTAGAAACCAAATTCTACTTTTAATTCTGAAAGATTTATATATATCTCTACTACCTTAACCCTCTCCTCCTACCCTAGATTTCCACAGCAAAAATAAACAGGCAGCTTCTTCAGACAGCTCACAGTGGCCAGAAGGAAATGAGCAGAAGAAGCATGCAAGTGGGTGGGCACCAGGGTGCTGCACTGTCTGGTGTGTTCAGCGCGTGCTATCTGCTATCGGGTCACTTACCTTGCCCCCAGAGTGTTCTTATCTGATTCAAGATCATTTGTGAAGCCCAGCCTTAAAATGTGTTGTTAGAGCCCTTCCTGTTGTGTGATCGATCACTGAACCGCCCATCCTGCCACCACGATTCCTCCAACTACAGAGACATGTGCTGAGGTCTGACTGATGAGTCCAGGGAAGGCCTGTGGGAGTGGTGGCTCTGGATACTGACATGCCTGACTTCTTCCTTTCAGAAATGCTCCCACTGCCAGGAGGCAGGCGCTACCCTGGGCTGCTACAACAAAGGCTGCTCCTTCCGATACCATTACCCATGTGCCATTGATGCAGGTGAGTTGGGACCACCCATCTTTATCCAGAGGGATAAGGCATGCAGTCTGATTCTCTGTTTATAATTCCTTTTATCTCTCCTAACCTCTTCTGTTTGTAAATTCTAAAAGAATGCAAAGAGGATAATACAAGGAAGTGGAATTCGGTAATTTATAAATAGTTTTATATATTTATCTAATTCACATGTGATTTGCATATTTAAATTTAAAGTTCAGTGACTTTTAGTATATTCAAGGAGTTGTACAACCATCACCCCAGATTTTACAGTTTCATCACCCTGTAAAGAAACTACTATTCACCGCCTGCTGCGCAAGTTCAAGGACCCGAGTTCGATCCCCGGTACCAAAAAATAAAAAATAATAATAATAATAATAGTAATAATAAAGAAACTCCTATTCATTAGTAGTCACTCACTTTCCTTTTCCTTCTTCTGCCCCCTGGCAACCACTAATCCACTTTCTGTAGATTTGCCAGTTCTGAACATGCTTATTTTTTAAGGTAGGGTCTCCATATGTAGTCCTGCCTTACCCTCAGCCTCCCAAGTGCTGGGATTACAGACATGTGCCACCATGTCCAGCAGGACATTTCATGTAAACAGAATCCTATGATATGTGGCCTTTTGTAACTGAATTCTTTCACTTACCGTATTTTAAAGATTCATTCGTGTTGTAGTATGAATTAGTACCTTATTTTCAATTTCTAAATAATACTTTATCGTGAAGCATATACCATGATTCATCCGTTCATCTGTTGGTGGACACTTGTTGACTATAACAAGTAATGCTGCTATAGAACATTCACATATAAGTCTTTGTGTGGACATACGGTTTCAGTTCTCTTGGCTGTATACCCAAGAAGAGGAATTGCTGGATCATGTGGTGACTCCACATTTAACCTTTTGAGGGGCTGCCAGACTTTTTCAAAAGTGGATGGATGCTCCATTTTGCCTTCACACCACAGTGTATTAGGATTCCAGTTTCTGAACGTCCCCATTTATAGGTGTTATTCTCTGCCTTTATTATTGTTGTTACTGTTATAGCTGGCCTGGTAGATATGAAATGGTACCTCATTGTGATTTTGTTATTTCTCTGATAGCTAATAATGTTGCACATCTTTTCATGTTCATTGGCCAGTTGTATACCTTGGGATAGGAGAAATGCTGATCCAGATCTTTTGCCCATTGTTAATTCGAGTTGTCTTTTTATTGCTGAGTTTAAAGAATTCTTTGCATTTCTGGATACAGGCTTGCTATCACATATTTGGCTTGCAAATATTTTCTCTGATTCTGTGACTTTTCACTTTTTTGATGATGTTCTCCAAAGCACAAAAATTTTAATTTTGATGAAGTCTAATGTATTTTTTACTTTGTTTCATGTGCTTTTGGTGTCACGTCAAAGAAACCATTGGGCCAGGGATTTACCTCAGTGGCACCGCACCCCTGAGTTCCATCCCGGGTACTGCAAAAAGAAAAAGAAAAAAGAAACCATTGCCTAATCCAAGGTTCCAAAGATTTACACCAGTGTTTTTCCTAAGAGGTTTAGCTCTCACATTTAGGTCGGTCTTCACTCCACTTTAATTTTTGTGTTGTATGAAGGAGTCCACATTTTTTTTGTATGTAGATACTTACTTGTCCTAGCACCATTTGTAAAAAAGGATTGTCCTTTTTTCATTGAATGATCTTGGCATCTTTGTTGAAAAATCATTTGGCCATTGATATGCAGACTTATTTCTGCCTGTCTTGATTCCGAAAGCTCTGTAGTAGAGTTTGAAGTTGGGAAATGTGAGTTTACCAATGTGTTCCTTCTTCTGAAGGCTAGCTATTCTAGATCTCTTATCATTCAGTATGTACTTTAGGATCAGTTTACCCATTTTTGTTTAAAAGAAGGAGGGGTTATTGAAATTTTGACAGAGATTACACTGAATCTGTAGATAAATCAGCAAATATTGTCATCTTAATAGCTTTGTGTCTTCTACTTCATGATCATGGAATGGTATTCAATTTAGGTCTGTAATTTTGTTTGACTGTTTTATAGTTTTCAGAGGATATGTTTTACACTTCTTTCATTAAATACATTCCTAAGTATTTTATTTTTAGTGTCGTTGTAATTGGAATTATTTTCTTAATTTCTCATGGTTCATTGTGAATACATAGAAATACAATGGATTTTTGTATATTGATCTTGTATGTTTCAACTTTGCTGAACTTGACTATGTGGTTGTAATAGTTTGTAGTGAATTTCTGTATACAAGATAATGATATCTATGAATAGAGATGGTTTTACTTCTTCCTTCCTGATCTGATGCCTTTTATTTATTTTTCCTGCCTAGTTGCCTCAGCTAGAACCTCCAGTAAAACTTTGAATAAACATGTTAAGAGCTGACATCCTTATCTCGTTCCTGATTTGGGAAATACCAAGTGAGGCACAGTGGTACACACCTGTAATCTCAGCTACTTGGGAGGCTAAGGTGTAGAAGGATCTCAAGTTTGAAGTCAGCCTGGGCAACTAAGTAGGATCCTGTCTCAAAATAAAAAATAAAAAGGGCTGAGGATATAGCTTAATGGCAAAAGGGCCCCTGGGTTCAATATCCAGTACTGCCAATAAATGCATGAATGAATGAAAGAATGTGTGTGTGTATGTGGGTGTGTTTGTTTATATATGGTATAGCTGTACATATGTGTTCTTGATACATCTGAGGGAGCTCCAGTCTAGTCCCAGTTTGTAGAGTGTTTTTATCACAAAGAGCTGTGTGTGA